GATTTTGGTCCCTTCTAAGACATGCTGATGCTTGATCTTGCCTTTTGTCTTTGGATCTGAAGACTGAAGTCTTCCCATCTGCTCAGGAAAAAAAAACCCCAAATCTATTAACTTTTAATCATTGCTTCTGAATTATCCCTTCTGTGTCTCTTCTGGGAATACTGTTGGAAATTAATGGAAACGCCTAGAATCGTCCTCTCTGTCCCTTCTCTCCCATCGTTGCTGTCTCTTTGTCCTCTTCCCCCACCCAGTGCCCATCACGTCTCTCTTGTTGGGATTTACTGCACTGATTTCCTTCAGGGCACACTCTGTTGGCTGTGTCTGCGACCCAGGCCAACCACCCTGGTCAGTTTCTTTCCCTCCCTTGGCTCTTGATCTAATTTCACAGTTACAAACTGCCCTTACATCTCAACTGACATCATGTTCAGGTAGTACCTCCTTTCCCCCTCCTGTTTCTTGCAGCAAATCTCTTTTCCAGAGAAACTTGCCCTGTGGCCTCTCAGACTTTCTGCCTTACCAGAGCCACCAGCCCTCTGCTGACTTCAGGAACTCAGTCTCAGACCTTTCTTTAGCTTTCAGTGCCTCTTGACCAGGGAAGGAGGGAGGTAGGCATTGAACTTGAACCTCAGTGCTCTCCTCATGACTTTGGACATCTGGATGCTGGTGACGGTGAGAGAGCAGTGGTAAAATTAAGGGTCCAGAATGCACCCAGATGCTGCTTGGCACTGTTGGAGTTCGGCAATTGGTGGTAGGTGCCCCTTTGCAACCTGAACCCTACCTCATTCCTGGACGCAGCTGTGCGTGTGCCCATATTGTGACCTGGGCAGGCAGAAAGGCATAGACTTAGGGTGGTGGCTGCCAGATGGAGAAGGGCTGGTTCTTTGTGTTATGTCTAAAGAGTTCTGTGATACCCCTTGTTATCACACATCTGTCCAACTGTGGACTGCACGCATCACTGTGGCAGAGAAGAGACATTGACTCCCTCTGTTCGCCCCACCCACCTGCTCAGGGCTTTGCTTTGACCGATCATTCTTTTCATCATGCTGTCCCTGCTCATGTGAGACCCTGCCTCTCAGAGGGCATGGAGAATGTGAATCCTCCTGGACCTTGACCTCCTAGCATTGGCCCTGGATCCAGCTCAAGAGGGACCTGTCAGTCGTTCTGACACAGTGGTTCTTAAAGGGTGGTCCCTGGACCTGTGGCCCTCAGCGGTGTCACCTGGGAACTTGTCAGACATGGAACTGACCTCTGACCTAGGACATCAGGAACCACAAGGCCGGGGCCCAGCCATCCAGTGAGCGCTCAAGAGTGAGGACCTCAGCTCCCACAGGAGCTGACGCTGTCACCCTGCCTTCTCCCACTCAACGTCTCGGGCGGCTTTCCCAACAAGTGTCCTCAAAGATGCCTTTGAAAAATGTTATGTGCTCCCTAGAGAGGTGGGTGCTCATTAACAGGAAGCTAGACTTGGTGTTCGTGCTTCCTTTTCATGTCATGGAACTCAATATTTTCCAAGCCGATCTGGGCATAGAATTCTTTATTCCCGCCACCTGCTCTTGGTCTTGACCCCTTGGCGTATCTTACCTTTACTCAACTCAGGGCCTTGGTGTTGAAGCTTGACCCACCAGGGCTCCAGCTTCTATGAACTTACTCACTTCCAGGCAGACCACTCCCAAGGTGGCATTTCTACTGGGTTCAACTGCCGGAGAAGAGTCACAACTGCATTCTTGTGACCATTCAGACCATGGGGTGAGGTACGAAGATGGCAGGGCTTGGGGATTTACTGCTGACTAGCTCCGTTAAGTTGGGGAATGTGACCTTTTCACAAGGCTCATGTGGGAAGTTCGTGGAGCCAATGATGGAAGGGAGACACGGTTTGGAGTGAGAGGAACTGAAAACTACCATTGGCTCAGTCATCTTCTCCTGGTTTCCATTTCTCCATTGGTAAATGGTGGCATTGTAATATAATAGACAACACACGTATGCAGTTGCAATTAAAATTTTAAGATAATAATACATGTGAAAAATCTCTGTTAAACTGCATTATGTTAGAAAATGTCCGCTACTATGATGTCCAAAAAAAAAAAAAAAAAACCAGCCAACCCTTAGGCTGTACATTCAGAGGCTCTGTCTCTCTGCCTGGCACATAGTAGGTGATCAGAAAACTGGTGTTGTTCATGAAACAAAGCAGAGCCCCAAGGCACCAGGGCAATGCTCAGTCCCGAGGGACCTTGTTCCAGCTGACAGATAAGAATGATTTGTAAGTAGCACAGGCACTGTTTATTCTCCATCTTCCTCGGTATTGATTTGTTTATCAAAAATTTTATTTATAAAAGAGCACAAAAATAAACCAGCCCCAGTTCTGCAGGAAGCCTTGCGGGTTCTGAATTAATGAGGTCCGAATTTATGACAGTTCTGAACTGTGACTTCCTTCTCCTGCCTGGCCGCGGTTGGGGGTGGGGTGGGGAGGAAGTGACCACGTTACAGGGCAGGGGTCCCTCTCTTCCTGCTGCGCACCCCTCCACACACCCTTTCCCCCAACCCCTTCATCCCCAATAAAGATGCTTTTCTCCAGGTGCTAGAGGCGGTTTCTGGAGCTCTAACATGGCTCGAGATCCGGGCAGATGCTGCTTAGCTCCAATAATTCTGTTCTGTCAAATTCTGGGTCGTGACCGCAGTATTTTATAGTCTGAGAGCTGCTCGTGGAAGGCTGTGAGCCCTGAGGAATGAGTATCTCTTCCAGAGTGGAGGGCACGACAGAAATGGTGGAAGAATTCTCTTGAGTTCCTCATGTGCTAGGACAAGAGTTTGGTCCCTGGGCCGGACAGCAGCAGCATCACCAGTGACTCGATAGAAATGCAGAGTCTTGAGCCCTGGTCCCAACTCTGGGAGGGGGCCCAGCAATCCGTTTTAACATGCCCTCCTGGTTTTTCTGATGCACACTCAGGTTTGAGGACTCTTGATGTGGGAGAAGGAGGAAGGAACTGGGAGGGAAGAAAGGGAGGACTCTGGAGCCCAAAACTTATTAGATCGTGGGTGGTCCAAGCACCCCCGAGGGTCCAACAGATGTTCCTTGAACCCACCTGAAAAACTGAACCTAGGTTTTCTCTCCATTTACCCTAGGGCAATGGTTTTCTTTCCTGGTTGGCACATTAGAATCAGCTAGAGACGGCCGCCTGGGTGGCTCAGTTGGTTAAGCGGCTGCCTTTGGCTCAGGTCATGATCCCAGCGTCCTGGGATCGAGTCCCACATCGGGCTCCTTGCTCGGCAGGGAACCTGCTTCTCCCTCTGTCTCTGCCTGCCTCTCTGCCTACTTGTGATCTCTCTCTCTCTCTCTCTCTCTGACAAATAAATAAATAAAATCTTAAAAAAAAATAATCAGCTAGAGAGCTCTTTAGAAATAGCATCCCCTAAGCTCAGACCCTGATCAACAGAATCAGAATCCCTGGAGTTTTGTCTGGACATGTGCATTTTTTAAAGCTTCTAGATGGTTCCAGCATGCACCTGTGTTTGAGATCTACCAATGCAGAGGACGCCTTGTTAAGAAGAGATGTAATTTGTGTTGTCTTTACATATACTATACATTTTTTTAATTAGCTGTTTATTTTACTTATTTATATTATAAAAAAGACATACTTAGTAAGGAAAAAAAAACTTGTAAAATACAGAAGCACTGAAAGGAGAGAAGAAATAAGGCATGAGTTCTAGTTATCTGAAGGTGGTCAGCAGTGTTTTCACTTGTAGTTGGATGGTGTTTTCTTTTAATCTTCTTTATTTATTTCTAATACTCTGGTGTGACTTTATAGCATTGTGATCAAACATAATATAGCATTTTCTGTCCACTTTTTTTTCTTAAAGGGGGAAAGGGGGTGGAGGGGCAGGGGGGAGAGAGAGAGAATCTCAGGCAGTGTCCACGTCCAGCAACGGAGCCTGAAGTGGGGCTCAATCTCAAGACCTTGAGATCGTGACCTGAGCTGAAACCAAGTGTTGGACACTCAGTCGACTGTGCCACAAGGGCAACCCGTTTTCTGTCCACTTTTTAACTTCACCTTCTTTCTGCATAATTCCACACACTTACTTCCAAGTAGTTTTCAGTGCGCTCTTATAGCAACACAACAAAAATACGCTTTTCTCCAGTTTCCTATGTCTGTGCCTCAGGATGGCATTTACGAAGTCCTTTTTCTTTACCACAGCCGTATTTCCAGAGCTTTGTGAAGTCCCATTTCGAACGTCAGAAGCAGAATATTACCCTCCTTCTCTTTGAATTTCTTCTCCCAAGGTCCTTGCCCATCCTCACCTTTCCCCAGACAAGCCCCGTGGGTAGACGGCTACATTAGGTGGACAAAGAATAACATCTTATTGTGGAAAGCCAGCAGGGGAAAGCAGTGAATATTTTGCCACTGTTTTACAGCCGCCATTCTGCCCGCCCCCTTCGGCTGACTGGATCTCTCCTAAGCCACCAGGCTCTAGTTCCCTGGGATATGGTGGTACTCCTAAACAGGCACATAGAGGGGGCATCCTCGGCCAGACGGAGCCAGGCCTTGTGCTCTGGAAAGAAAGAAAACAAATGAGTAAGGCAACATGGAAGAAACTGGGACAACGGACAGGATGGGGGGAAGGGGCAAATATACCAATATTCTGTTGTGCTCGGTCAGAAATGCCAAAATCAAGCCCCGTGTACCCCTTTCCCTTCTGCTTTCTATGTATCCTTTCCAGAACTTTTGTCTTTGTTGTGCAAATATATATATACATACATATATATATAAATATGTATATCTACTTGATATATATACTTTTTATATATACAGTGTATATATTTGTAACATATATTATATGTGTTTATAAAATAATATATTTTTTTTTTCTTGACGGCTCTACTTCCTGCCTCAGCTGCTGATTTGCCACTGATGGCCTCACTCTGGCGGGATGAGCGGGAGTTCCAGCTCCTGCCTTATTTTTGCTGCTACGAGTCTTCCAGATAACTCTGCCCCGTCTTCTTGCAGGACATTATGGGAAGGATGCTTACCGAAGTGGAGGACCCGATCTCCATAACTTCATCTCCTCTGGATTTGTCACGTTAGGAAGAGGACACACGAAGGGTACAGTGGAAACCATTTTTTACTAAAACACACAGGTTGCCTAGGGAGCCCCGCTCTGAAACGCAAAGACGATGTAGAGCCCAGAGGCTGGTCCAAGACAGGGAAAAGCAAGGGGTGGTGCCACGGCAGCCAGTCCTGGTGACGTACGTGGCTTCTGAGAGGTCACAGGTGGGATGTTAGAGGGTCTGTAGATGTAACAGAGACATCCCTCTTGCCCCCCTGGCCCCGGCGAGGAGCGGGACCCAGAGGCCAGGGCCCCTGCGGGAGGGACCACAGGCAGCATGGTGGGAAACTGCCAGTGGACGGGGCACCATTTGCAAAGGGTGTGTTCTCCTCTTGGCTCTTACCCCTTTTCCATTTGAAAGCCACATTTTATAAACTGATGTCAACACTCTATACTCTGGGTTTCAGAGCCAGCGCGCATGTTGGAGAGTTTCAGTGTCCTAAGTGTGTCTGTATAAACTCTCTACAGTGTGGACCCAAAGGTAGAGGTTACACAGACCTTGAAGCCTCAAGATGGCTTTTCTGCAGAGCTGCTTTGTGTCCTAGCTGACAGCTTGCCCAGCATCTGTGTGGGATGGGGAGGGGGGTGTGGAATCCTCGATTCCGTCTTTTGTTTAAACAGAGTCTTCCTAGTGTTGTGAGCATTCTGTCCTATCAAGAGGAACCGGATCCCCGACTCCTCTGTTTACCCTTCCTAACACCTGTGTATTGTTATAGACCAACTGTGAATTCTGTTGTAGGGATGCTCTAATCCCTGTCTGCCTCTGAATTACGTGTCTGTTTTCAGTGTGAGCGACCAAGGAACTTTGCGATTTTTTCTTACATTCCATGCCAACTACTTTTTAAATTCCCTATGTGATGTTTGTTCATCCTATAGAGAAAAAAAAAAAAATATATATATATATACATATAATATCTGTATCTGTGTATGCATTTTCTGTTATGTCTCTTTGTGTCTAAATAAAGTTTATTGAGGATACAGGTGGCATTTGTGGCTATGCGAAATTGCAGAATCAAATTGGGACCAGAAGGGGAGTTGGGTGACCTGGTGAACCAGCGAAAGACACAATCTTAGTCATCCCCATATGGCTCGAAGCTTAGGACGGCCCGCCCCCACATCACGTGCTCTGCGATGATTACCTCGCGCTATGCAACAAATTACACAGACCTAAAATGTCGCATTTTAAAACAATACCAAACAAATGTATGATCTCGCATAGTTTCAGCAGGTCGGGAATTCAGGAGCAGCTGAGCTGAATGCTTCTGGGTCGGGTCTCTCATGAAGTTCCAGTCAACATTGCAGCAAGGGCTGTGTCATCTGAAGTCTTGACTGTGGCCGAGGACCGGCTTCCAAGATCGTTGGCGCCCAGCGTGCTGGCTGTTGGCAGGAAGCCTGCATTCCCCTCCCCCGCCCCCACAATGTTCTCTCCGTGGGCGACTTGCGTGTCCTCACAGCATGGTGGTTGGGCTTCCCCAGAGTGGGTGATCCAAGGAAAAGAAAGAGAGAAACCGAGTGTCTTTTATGACCAAGCCTGTTGGCGACACACTGTCATTTGCTCCATATCTTACTGGTGACACAAGTCAGCTTTATTCCAGATGGGAGGGAGTTACTCAAGAACAGGAATATCAGGGGCCAGGGATCCCTGGGGGCCATCTTGGAGATTGGCTACCCTACTCCTACAGCCATGGGGCAGAGCAACGGATCCGAATTTTTCCAGAAAACATGACAGCTCTTACCAAGCCTTCTCAACCCCAGTAATTTCCCACCCTTGCCCCTACCCCGTGCAGGTGGTCCAACATGAAACACCAAAGAGTTCAATTTAAAGAACTCCCTATGTAGATTATAATGGTGACAACTTTAGGTTCATACAGTCATTCAACAAATATTTCACGAGGCCTGCCTGGCACTCAGCGATATTCAGAAGTAAACAAAATGGGATCTTCTTCTGTGAAACTCCTCTTCCACTGGGGGAAAGCAGACAAAATGAATTCTCGACAATGGGAGCAAGGGGAAGACCTCCGGCAGGTGCAAGGATGAGAATGCTCGGCTGGGAGCCGGCCTTGTCAGGAAGGGCAGATTGGATGAGGTGGTAATTGGGCAGAGACCCGCATCCCAGGCAGAGGCAACAGGAGGGCAGCCCCAAGGTGGAAGCTTTCTTGTGGTGCTGAGAAGTAGGAGGGGGGCTAGTGTGAATAAAGCAGGGTAGAAAAGGATGAGAAGAGGAGGACACGGGACCCGAACCAGAGGGGAGCCAGATCATGGATTTATCAGGTAGTGGACACTAGGCTGCTTCCGAAAGATCTAGATAGACCTCTATCAGAGCAACATAAAGACGATTCTCTATCCCTGTTCATCCTTTGGGTCGCTGTCATCCGGTCAGCTCTACCCCACCATGGGTATGGGGCTTTGCTGTGGCTGCTGCTGAGTTCCCTGATATTAGCTTGTCCTTGCTTCCTGCAGCCGTCCTGAGTGTGCCTGGCCCGACTCCCAGCCCCCTCCACCAGACACCACCCTCACCAGGTCCTTTTTATCCTTCCCTTCCTCTCAAGGCCTCTGAAACCTCCTCTCTCCTCCAGGAATGTACCTGGTGTGGCTTTTCCTCTTGAGATAATAACTAAAATTCCATAAGCCAGGAGACTGGGGCTGGGGGAGGAGCTTTGGAAACAGGACTCTCCTTCTGATATCAGAATCTTTCTCCCTGCACAGCCTGGATCTCTGGGAAAGGGCTCAGCTCCATCCTCCCTTCCTTCAGTGCAACCCAAGTTCAGCTCTGAGTGGTACCTAGAAGCAAGAGCGGCCCCCTGGAAATATGCCATGGGCAGGGCACCCCTCAGGGGCATCGAACATGGGGCCATTGCTCATTCTGTGTGTTTCATGCCTTTCCTTTTCCTTTTCTATTTGTTTCTTTCTGCTTCACCTCCCCTGTCTGTTGCGTACCTTTTCCTTTATTCCCAGTTTTTCTCTTCTTCCTAAATTGGCGTTAGGCCTTCTGGGGACTACTGCTTGGCCCCACCGTGACACTCAGAACTGATGGGGGACCGGCTCCTGCTTTAGAAGGTCATACCATTGCCCTGTTAGCCTGCATCCCTGATTTTCACATGTATTCCTAGAAGACTCTGACTATCTGAAAAATCACAATAACGGTCCCTGTTCTAGATGGTGGTGGCAACTTCTTCAGATACTGGGATGTAGCCAGCCCTGGCTGTCCTTTCAAAGGCCCCAGAGGCATCATGGGGAGAGACAGGCATCCCGGCTTTGGCGTTGGCTCGTGCGAATGCAGAGCTGGGGGTGAGGATGCTTTAGAATGAGATCCACGGTGCACAGGTAATTAAACCTTCCAAGACAAACCCTAATAAACAAGGGGGTGTTTTTGGCTCTTGGGATTGCAAAGGTGAGACATTGAAAGAACCGGAATTCTGACCTTTGGGGGGGGCTTCGTAACCACCAAAGCCCCCGGTTCCATCTTTGTCCTGTTAGGAAACTCCGTGTTTTAGCCTAGGATGTCATGTAGCCATGAGTCTGCCTTCAAGGGTAAATGGAAGTCAAGGCCGAGGAAGATGTTGACCAGACTGACCATGAGTTTAAACCAAGGTCCCCCTACATCGTTTTCTCTATTCATTAGACAGGATTACCCACCCAGGCCCCCCACGTAGGGCCCCAGAGTAGCCTTGAGGGAACCAGAGCATCCCCCAGGCTGCCACAGTGGAAACCCAGTGATAAAGCCTCCTATTTGCTGAGCATTTACTATGTACCAGCATTTCGACACATGCCATCTTATTTTCACCTTTACAACGACCCCGTGGGAGAGCCCTTGTCAGCCCCATTTTGCTACAAAAGATCTTTAAAATAAGGGAATGGGGGAAGAGGACTGGAGTGCAGGTACAGAAACCCTTTAGAGGGCTAACATGATGCAGAGTAGGAATGAGGGCAGGACCCGGAAGGGGGTGTGATGTAAAGAGAGTTGTGTTTTGTTCTGTTTTAAGATGGGAGAAGCCCCAGTGTATTTGCTCACTGGTAGGAATGGTCCAGCAGAGAAGGGGAAATTGATGATGCAGGGTGGGGTGGGGGTGGGGGCGGGGGGTTCAGAAGTGGTGTCCTCGGTAGGCAAGAGCTGATGGGATCCACCATGGAGATGGTGGATCTCCACCAGGAGCAAAACCCACCCAAGAAATCCCCCACTGATGGAAGGCAGCGTACAGGGCCCCAGGTACATGCAGGTGGGCGTATGCCATTGGTGCTCAGTGATTTGGAGAAGCAAGGTCATCATCTGTGAGCGAGGGAGAGGGTGGTCTTCCAACTCTGTTTGTCCCCAGTGTTCCAGTTTCAGCACATGAAAGGCTGCCTCCTGAGCAGCCCCTCAGTCCCAGGCAAACGGGGACACCTGGTCACCCTAATGAGAACATATGAGCCAGTCCAGCCCTGGTGGCTTCAGAGCATCTTCCACACCCATCTGGGGCCCAGAGACTCACACCCAGGATGCCGCTGCCTGGGGCTGGCCTCTGCACAGCCACGGGTGCTCCTAGGCCTCAGGACTTCCCTGAGATCAGCTGGGAGATAGAGACGAGGCCAGAATGGAGGAAGCTGCCGCCCTGGAGGACCGTTCCAGAGCCTGCAGACAGACCTCGAGGGGATGGATTGCCTCATTCTGTCTGAATGACGCTACCCAGGGACCAGGCTGGCTCTGTCCATCCCCGCTGCCCAGCCAGACTCTCCGGGGGGTCTGAGGCAGAAGCCAAGGCAGGAGAGTCCGGGCTCCCTGCAGATGAACGAGGGGCATCTGAGGAGGTTGCTGAGATCAGAGCTGCATGTGACCATCCCGATGCTAGTTCAGGAGGCTCAGCAATGAGGGGCAGGGACAGCATCCCACCTGCTCGAGTCCCCAGATCTAAGGACAAGGAGCAGAGATCCAGAGGGACAGGGCTGGGCTGCTGGCACCTGTCCCTTGAGCAGGGGACGAAGCCGGGGATGGGTCCTAACATGCAGAAAGCCTACAGGT